AGAAGTACTATATTGGTGATAAATGAGGCTGGAGGGGGGATAACTGAAAAACTAGTATGATATATATGGTAGTGCGGATAAATGAGTGGGTAGGATATAAAAAGATTTCTGGTAGCAGTGATAATGATATGCTTTAGCTTTGATAAATCATAATGATCATGAATGCCACTAGTTTGATATGGGAAGTTTGGAATTTTGAAACGAAAAGATTTTAGTGTGACATTTTAAAGTGGCAAAATACATTTTTCATTTTGCCACAAGGTTCCTTACTGGACCACTGTTGTTCCTACTACTAGATACTGGGACGTGTGTTGTTCAAAAAGGTTCCTTACTGGTCCACTATTGTTTTTGCTACTAGACAGTGGGATGTGTTGTTCCACAAAGTTCCTTACTGGACAACTATTGTTACTGCTACTGAGACTGTGGGATGTGTGGTTCTCCACAAGGTTCTGTACTGAATTGCAACTGTTCCTGAGATACATAAACAATATACGTACCTGAGAAAATGAAAGAACCCTCCCTAGCCCTCTTTATGAATTATGTAAAGCTAATGAAAAAATAAAACCCTGGAGAGGACAAGAAAAAAGCTTCAGCTTCACCTACACAAAGTACAAAGCTTGTCATACAAGTGGCTATTGGAGTACAACCACCCAGAAAATGCAAGGTTATGGTAAGCAAAACTATAATGTTATACTGGTTCAGAGCATCCCAGGAGTAAACATCGTACTGAATATTTCTCCAGAAGTTAACATCAGCTGAGTAGCTTTTAAGATAAATGTGCGAATTTCTAACTAAAGAATTTTTAGCTTTCAAGTATCTCAGTATTAAATAATTTGCAACAATGTATGCAACATCTATGTGGCCTGCCATCGAGTACACAGCCTGAGCATGAAACCCACATCTGTTCATAAACGTTAATAATTCAGGGCACAGGTCAGTGAATATTTTTTTGGGTATTACAGTACCCCAGAACAAATTTGTGTACAGTAAAATTCCCCACTAAAATTGAAAGTCCACAGAATCTGGAAAACACAAGGAGAATTCAAATTCAAAATAGTTTACCGAATCCATATGTGTGGAGAATAAAGTCATAAAAGCTGAAAAGTATGTATTGTATGAAATAAAGACACTTTAAAAATAAAACACAAAATTAACAAAATATTTAAATAAAAAATAAATAATTTTTTGTGAAATTTCTGCTTATTGAGCCTTTATTACCCCAGAGATTTTCACTTTTACTCCATTTAGGGTCATTTATCTTGGTTCCCTGACCTCTTAACAGAAAGTTCAGCAAGATTTATTCCAGAATAATGGAAAATGATCTACAGTGGTACCTTGAATTTCGAACAGCTCTCAACGCAAACAATTATGTAAGTTTATTTTTTAAGTGCTTTTCTAAGTGTATTTTTGGGGGTCTGAAACAGACTACTCTAATTTACATTATTCCTTATAGGAACAAATTCATTCGGTAATGGCACTCGAACAGCCTTCTGGAACAAATTAAGGCCAAAATTCGAGGTACCACTTTATGTATAGTAAAAGATATGTACCCGATGATATTAGTGAATAAAAGACCAGGGGGAGATATGATTATGACATAGATGCTCCAAAGTTTTCAGAGGAAGGATAAAAGAAGCAATGAGAAAGACTGGTGGAGAGGAGCAAAACAGGTTTAAGAGGGAACAAGATAAAAAAAAAATATAGTTCATGAAGATTAACCCTTATACTGTCCAAACATAGATCTACATTTTTTCAACATTTGAAAGTTTTGTAAAAAAACGTAGAGCTGCTTCGCTTTTTTTTTTACCTTTGAAAATGTGTAAAAAAAAACTTTGATCTACATTTTTTTTTGTTATATTTGAAAATATGTAAAAAAATGTAGATCTACTTTTGGAGCATTACGTATGTGAACGTAGATCTGTTTGGACAGTTTAAGGGTTAAAAATAAAAATACAAAAAGTAATTAATGAATGAAAATTAAAAAACAAAAGTTAAAAGCAAAAATTCATAAAAGAACAAAAGTCAAAAAGCAAAATATCGTTCACGAACAAAAATTAAAAAGCAAAAAAAATTGTTCGTGAACAAAAATTAAAAAAATAAAAATCATGAACATAAAAAAAATTTGTTCACGAGCAAGAAAAAAAATTCATAATTAATAAAAAAAATTAACAGGTAAAAGAATTATAAAAAATTATTGATGACAATGAATTAAAAATCACTGATAAACAAGAAACAACAACACACAATAATTAAAAAAAAATACATATAAAAATAGAAATGAAAATAAAAAATAATACCTGAAGTATACCTGTATGATACCTGGAGTATACACGTAGGATACCTGGAGTATACCTGAAGCATACCCAGAGGATACCTAGAGTATACCTACATAATACCTGGAGTATACCTGGAGCATATCCGAAGTATACATGGCGGATACCTGATGTATACCTGGAGGATACTTAACGAATATTTGGAGGATTCTTGGAGTATACCAGAGGTATACCTGGAGTATACCCAGATAATACCTGGAGTATACCTAGAGCATACCTGTAATATAACTGGAGGATATTTGAAGTGTACATGAAGCATACCTGGGGTATACATGGAGAATACCTAGAGTATACCTGGAGGGTGTTCTGCCCCCTCCCCCGAGACCCAGTCAGTGACCAGGCCTGGTGGTGGATCAGGGCCTGGTCAACCAGACTGTTACTGCCGGCATCACCTAAAGCAACGTATCAACCACGATCCACTTTTCAATCAAATAAAAAAAATAGTATATAAAAATAAAAACAAGAGAAATACAAAAACACAATTAAAAAAAATAAAAATACATGAAAATTTAAAAAATTATGATTTTCAAAAAGAAGCTTAAAATTAAGAAATAAAAAGACCCGCATAATAAGACTCACAAAAATATATAATTCTAAATTTCGTTTTCTTTTCATCATAATTATCAACACTACTGACACTATCATGATTATCATCACTACTGACACAATGATAATTATCACCACTACTGACACTATCATGATTATCATCATGATAGTTGAGGGCACTCCCTCAACTACCTAAAGTCATACCTCAGCAACAGAAGCCAATATGTGTACACAAATGGGGCAAACTTCCACGCAGCCAATTACAGTTGGGGTCCCACAGGGAAGTGTCCTAGGCCATCTTCTCTTTCTCATATACATAAATGACCTACCAAATGCATCGCAACTACTCAAACCCACACTATTTGCAGATGACGACTGACATACGTCACTCCTCCGAGCCTGTCATGCTAGCCAATACTGTAAATACCGAATTACAGAAAAATATCAACCTGGATGAGGACCAACCAACTGACTCTAACACTGAAAAAACCTACCACATTCGTTTGGTAACAGAGCTGCAGAGTCTCTCTGAACATAATGATAAATTGGAATCACCTTCACAACTCAGAGGAAATTTCCTAGGAATCCACCTTGATAATAGACCTCAAATTTCATACCACATATAACAAATTTCAAAAAAAATTTCCAAGACCGTAGGCATACTATCGATGATATGGTACTTTGTTCCACAGTCAGCCCTCCTGGCCATCTATATCACTCATTATTTAACTATCTCACCTATGGAAATTTGTGCATGGGCTTCAACAACAAATATAAACCATCTCAGACCACTGTCACCCAACAAAAGGCTGCAGTCAAATAAATAACAAATTCCCACTACAGACAGCACACTCACAATATTCTCAAAAACTTAAACCCCTACTCCACAATACAAAACATCCATACTTCATTACTGCAACCTTCTACATACATAGAACACTTAACTCTGACATAAACCTCCCCTCAACATCTCCTTACCAACCTCACAAGAACACATGACCATAACACCAAGACACAGATCACTCTTTGATGTTCTCGTGTCCATCGCACGACTATGGCAAAAACTCAATGCACAGTAAAAGGCCTAAATCTGGATTTCATTACCTGTTGAATTTACCGAAACACTGTCTGTTTTATAAATTCAAGTCCTCTCAAAAATCACTTATAACCCACCAACTAAAATAAATACTGAAATAATTGTATCTCACAGATTGTATCTCATTATATTATCTCATTATGTCTGTATCTCATAAATTTCAACCTGTGCCCAATCAAACTTTGTTACTATTTAACTTCATTACCTAACAGAATACTCCATTCTACGATTACACAGCAACACAGTAAAAAGCCAATATGACCTGTCTTTGTAATACTACATTTGTACTAAATATATCTGTTTTACATAATTTTTGTACCACTGAATATATCATTGCTTAGTTAATCTTAAAGGTTATTTTTAAGCCTGCCCGTAATGCTATGCATTCAAGTGGCTTTGGCATGTGCATTTAACTGTATTCTTTAGTACTTCACTGTATCTGTTCAAATTAATAAATAAATAAAATTAAATAAATAATAAATCCACTTACTGGACACTATCACGATTTATCATCACTACTGACATACTATCCATGATTTTCATCACTATCTGACCACTATCATGATTATCATCACTACTGATCACTATCACGGATTATCATCACTACTAACACTATCTTTATCATCACTAGCGCACATATCATGATTATATCACAAACTGACACTATGATTATAATCACTACTGACACAAATAAATCATATTATCACAACTACTGACACAATCATAATTATTCACACTACTGACACAATCATAATATCCCCCAATACTGACACAATCATAATATTATCACCACTACTGACCACTATCATGACCACAATGGAAATAAGTCACTCTGACTTTTTTTGGGTTATCCTAGGTTCTCTACACATATGCTGCTATGCATGATAATCTATGTAACTGTATTTGTGAATAACTGAATAAAATTACTTATGATTAACACCAATTACTGACCCTACCTTATCACCAATACTGCACTATTCATATTATCACCGCCACTACCTGACACTATTCATGTTTCACCACTACTGACACTATCATGATTACTGACTACCTTATCACCACTACTGACACTACCTTATCACCACTACTGCCACTATCATCACCACCACCACTACTGACATGACCAAAAATATCACCCACTACTCACTACCATAGTTATCACCACTACATTGCCAAAATTTATCCCCACATACCACGGTAACCTTTTTTTTTTAACAGTTATCACCATTACCAGGACTACAGTTGCACCTTACCAGGACTACAGTTATCACGATACCTGGGACTACAGTTATCACCACTTACCAGTACTACAGTTATCACCATTACCAGGGACTACTCAGTATCACCATGACAAGGACTACAGTTATCACGACTACCAGGACTACAGTTATCACCACTACCAGTACATCAGTTATCACCAGTACAAACACATCATTTATCACAACTACCTACACATCATTTATCACCATTACCAGCACATTATCACCACTACCAGTACATCATTTATCACCATTACCAGCACATCACCACTACCAAAACATCATTTATCATCACTACCAGCACATCATTTATCACTACCAGTACTTCAGTTATCACCACTACCAGCACATTTATTGCTACCAGTACTTCTGGTATCACCACTATGAGTACATCATTTATCACCACTACCAGTACATCATTTATCATCACTACAGGTACTTCAGTTATCACCTCTTGTATGTAATCAGTATTGATGTCTTTTCCAAGCCACCCAAGAGGTAGACATCGAGGCTCGCTTTTTTTATAGTGGTATCCCCAGTAGGCCTAGTCCACTGTTCTCTCAGCTGATGCTTACCTTCTCAACACCTATAAGCTTCAAAGAAGGCTTTTGCTTCTTCCTCAAGCTGAAACAAGATCTTATCATTTTCTTTCTTCCTTTCCTGAAGTTCACGCTCTTCAAAATTCTTCAGGAACTCGGCAACTTCTGCCTCTTTTTTCTTCAACACTAGGCCAAGTTTCTTCTGCTGATTCCTTGCGTTGGGGTCAGTCTCGAAGAGCAAAATTCACAATGAGTACTGGCATCGTAGGCAATCAAAAATTCCTCATACTCTGCCATCTTTCGTTTCTTCCTTCTCTTTTCTCAGCTTTACACTGGGCTCAAACACGAGCCTTTTCCCGGGAGCGGTAGGCTGCCAGTCTCGAGCCTTGGCCCATCAAGGCACTAGTTTTCACACACCTCGGGAATACATTCTTCAGATGTCTGTCTTGAGATTTATTTCTAAATGTTTTGTAAGTAGTAGAAGGAAATTCTTCTGGATATCCAAAATGCAGACTGATTTACCAAGATTTAGTTAAATTTTTAAATATAGTTAGGCTAGAATAGTAGAACAGTGGTATATGTTGTGTGTGATATCCCCAGGAATATTATATAATTTGTTAAATGAATGGATATAATTACTATAAACTATATATATTTAAGTTACATATAAATTATATAGTTATGCTACAAGCTCTATATATATATATATATAGATATATATATTTATTCTATATTTTTATATATTTGGTATTAACCTTGGTAATAAAATACAACAAGTTGGTTTAGAAAGGGGACACGTAAGCAAAACTATAAACATATTTATTAGAAACGTTTCGGTCTGGGCCTTGATAACTTCTAACAAGGGTCCCAGGACCCCGAAATGTTTTCTAATAAATATGTTATAGTGTTTGCTTATGTCTCTTTCTAAACATATATATATATATATTATATATACATTATATAAATATGTATATGTAACTTTATAATTTATAGTATAACTTAAATATATATAGAACTTATATCCATTCATCTACATATTAAATATTCCTGGCGGATATCAACACAAAACATATACCACTGTTCTACTATTATAGCCTAAATATATTAATAATTTAACTAAATCTTGTAAATCAAGTCCACATTTTGTGAAAAAGACCTCAGTGATCCAGAAGAACTTCCTTCTACTTCTTACAAACCTTAGTAATAAGAAGTCTCAAGAAGACATCTGAATAATGTATTCTCGAGGAGTTGTGAAACCTAGTGCCTTGATGGTGGCCAAAGGCTCGAGACTTGGCAGCCTACGATCCCGGGAAAAGGCTCGTGACTTGGGCCCAGCGTAAAAGCTGAAGAAAGAGAAGGAAGATCGAAGATTGCAGAGTATGAGGAGATTTTTGATGCCTACGATGCTCAGTCTCATTGGTGAAATTTTGCTCTTCGTAAGACTGACTCCAACGACAAGAATCAGCAGAAGAAAGCTTGGGCCTACGAGAAGAAGAAAAAGAGCAGACAGAAGTTGCTGAGTTCCTGAGGAATTTTGAAGACGGTGAACTTCAAAAGGAAGAAAGAAAATGGATAAAGGTTTTGTTTCAGCTTGAGGAAGAAGCAAGGGCCTTCCTTCAAGCTTACAGGTGTGAGTAGGTGAACATCAGTTGAGAGAAGAGTGGACTCGGCCTCTGGGGGACACCACTATAAAAAAAAAACGAGCCTCGATTGTCTACCTCTTGGTGGCTTGGAAAGACATTATCAATTACTGTTACACTTACAAGAAGAGGTGATAACTGAATTACTAGGTAGTTGTTGATAAATGATGTGCTGGTAAGTAGTGATAAATGATTGTGCTGGTAGTAATTATAAATGATGTGCTGGTAGTAGTGATAAATGATGTGCTGGTAGTAGTGTTAAATGATGTTGCTGGTATGGTAGTTTGGTAGTAGTGATATAAAAATGATGTGCTTGGTTGTAGTGATAAATGATGTGTTGTAGTAGTGATAATTGATGTGCTGGTAGTAGTGATAAATGATTGTTGCGGGTTAGTCTAGTGATAAATGATGTGCTGATAGTGTGATAACTGAAGTAAAGTAGTGATAAATGTGCTGATAGTTGTGTTAAGTGAAGTTACTTAGTAGTGGTGAATTATGTGCTGGTAGTTTGCAATAGTGAAGTGTTGGTAGTTGTGATAAGTGAAGTGCTGGTAGTTGTGAATTAGCGAAATGTTTTTAATGGTGACAATTAAAGCACTTTAAAACATTTTTCATGTGGTTTTTTGCTAGGTTCACTTACTGGACCACTATTGTTCCTGTTACTAGACAGTGGGACGACTGTGGGGTTCCACAAAGTTTTGTACTGGAACCCCTATTGTTCCTGCTATAGACAATGGGACACGTGGTGCTCTGCAAATGTTCCTTATTGGATCACTATTGTTCCACAACAGTGGTTCAATAAGGTTCTGTATGAACAACTACTTTGTTGTTCCAACAAGGCTCCTTACTGGACCTCTCTTTGTCCTGCTATGCAGTGAGCACCATGTGATAATCTCAAGGTTCCTTACAGGGCCACTATGTGCTGCTATTAGGACAGTGGGATGTTGTGGTTTCCGCAAGGTTCTGTACTGAAATGCTACTGTCTTGAGATACATTAAAACAATATACCTGACAAAATGAAAGACACTCTCCCTAGCCATGAGTGAATTAAGTACAGCTAATGGAAAAAAATTAAAACCCTGGGAAGACAGAAAAAAGCTTCAGTTTGACCTACACAAAATACAAAGCTTGTCATAAAAAAAGGTGGCTATTTTGAGAGTCAACTCTAGGAATTGCCAAGGTTATGGTAAGCATCCTATAATGGTAATACTGACTCAGATGCATCCCAGGAGTATAAACACAGTACTGAACTTTTCCAGAAGAGTGTATCAGTCCGAGTAGCTTTTAAGGTAAATGTGTGAATTTCTACCCAAAGAATTTTAACTTTAACGAATCTCAGTATTGAATCATGATCACGACAATATTATGCAACCATCTATGAGGCCGCTCATCGAGTATGCAGCCTCTGGCACTAATACCCACATCTGTTCGTACACGTTAATAATTTAGAGCAGAGGTCGGTGAACATTTTTTTGGGGGTATTATCCAAAACAAATATGAATACATGAAATTCCCCCCATAGACTTGAAAGTCAACTCAGAATCCAGAAGCACAAGAGAATTCAAATTCAAAATGGTTCAGTGAATCCATTTTTATTTAGAAATACAGTTATAAAAGCTGGAAAAGTGTAATATATGGAATTCAAGCAACTTTAAAAATGAAATGCAAAATTAAAATATTAAATGTAAATTTTTTTTTTTTGTTGCAATTTGTGCTTATGAGCCTTTATTACCACAAAGATTTTCACTTTTACCCCATTTGGGAGTAATTTACCCCAGTTACCTGACCTCTTTAACAGAAAGTCTCAGCAAAATTTATTCCAGGAATAAAGAAAACATGAACCTATATAGATATACAGTGGTACCTAATGTTTTGAACTGCTCCCAATTCGGAACAATTATGTAAGTGTGTTCGCATAAGTGAATATTTGGGGGTCTGAAACGGACTAATTCAATTACGTTATTCCTTATGGGAACAACATTCGTTTGGCATTGGCACTCGACAGCATTCTGGAATGAAAGTAAGTTCAAAACTCAGGGGTATACCATTGTAGTAAAAGATATGTACTGATGATATTGAGGATAAAAGGACTAGGGGGAGATATGGTTATGAATAGATGTTCCAAAAGTTTTCATTGGGACAGTATTTATTTATTTTATTTATTTATTAATTTTTGAAACTGATAACAGTGAGTACAAAGGAATACGTGTTATTAGCAGTTGACAACATGAACAAGCCCCTTGTATGCAGAGCATTATCAGGCATTATGGGAGGCTAAATTAACTTAATCTTAAACTAAGCGCGCAAATGATATATTCAGTTTTGTAAAAAACATTTTGTTAAAAGATAAACAATTTCAGCACCCAAATGGAATTTACAAGACAGGTCATATGGTCATTTACTGTGTTGCTGTGCCCCTCAAGGAAGGTTCCGTGATGTTGAGTGAGGGCTCTTGATTTAGGAATTTGGATCTGTGCCTACAGTTCCCGAATTAAGCCTTGAAGGCCTTTCCACAATCCCCTCCCCCCGACGTGTATAATACTCCGGGTTTTGCGCTTCCCCTTGATGTATTAATAATAATAATGTGTTGCTGTGCATTTCGTACAGAATGGAGCTATTCTGTTAGGTAATGTAAT